CGGGCCGCCCCCGCACCCCGGCCCGGTCCCCGGGCCGGGGCGGCAGGCTCTCCGTCTCCCGGGCACGGGCCTCTCTGGGTCTGCAGCTCCCTAAGGCCGGCAAGGAGCTCGGTGGCCTGGGAACAAGGCTCCCGCAGCCCTCAGGTGAGCCCGGTCGCTGGAGAGACCCCCCAGCACGGTGACTGTTTCCCCGGGGCTGCAAAACCCTCTCTCTTCCCCAGGTACCAAGCTGAAGCTGATGCCGGCTGCCAAGTCCAGGCTTCAGCATCCCCATGGGGCCTTGCAGCTGACACAACCTTCTGCCATTCCCAAACCCACCCCCCGGGACGCAGAGATGGAAAGTAATTTTGCACCTGCCAGTTGCCTTATGGAAAGCTGGGAAGCTTGGGGGGACTGATGCTGCAGCTAGAAGGGAGAAGGGGGAAGGCCTGGGCTGCAGCATGGGACAGGGACAGAGCCTGGGGAGTGGGGAGTCCCTGTAAGCAGCACAGGTAGGAGCCCAGGAAATGTGCTCATGCCCCAAGTGCTGTATTAATTAGCACTATCTGTCGTCCCACCAATGTGGTCTAGCAGCCTGTTGGCTTGGAGCCCTCACCCCATGGTCTTGTGGGGTCACGGGTGTGCTGGTGGCTGTGGGCCTGGGACAGGCAGACTGACTGAGCTCTGGCCTGCCCTAGGAGAGGTGCAGTGTAGCTGCTTTGGAGTGGCAGCCTGTGCCTTATTGTTTGTCCACTGTAGCTGCTGTCAAGGTTGGGGGTCGCAGACAGCCCTCCCGGAGGCTCTCCACAGCAATTCCTATTGTGGCTTCTCGCTCCCGACTGCAGCCGCTGGGAAAAGTGGCTTCCCCCAAGCGCTTTTGCCTCGGTAAGGGTGAATCTGGGCAGAAGCCCTGGAGGCTCTGGTGTTGTGGGAGGGGGGAGCTGCTGCCCTGGGGAGAACATTCAGGGGACTGCAGTCAAGGCTGGTCCTGGGGAAAGGACAGGAGGGGGCAGCGTGTGCTCGGGCTCAGAGGAAGAGAAGTGAAATACAGAGGAGTAAGGCTAGGTGACGTCCTTTTCCCTGGAGAGGCACCCGGCAAAAAGGCTGAACAAATATGGTGCTCTAGCTCATCCATAGGACAGGGAGTGGCCCTGTTCAGTTCATGTTGCTGTCAGGGCACTCTCTGAGCAGGGGTTGATGCTCTTTACTTTCATTTCCTGGACCCCACTTCAGGATCGACTACGCAGGAGCTGATATGCAATAGGACCCGAGAGCTGAAGGAAGATGGTGAGAGCAAAGAATGGCTGGTTGCAGCAGGGACTGTCTTGGGAGTAGGTGAGCAGTATGGAGGTGTGGTCCTACGCAGGAGTGGGGAGCTGGAGCTTGCTCCCCTGTAGAGAGGAGCCCCTCTGGAGCTTTCCTGGCTCCTGACTGCCAAAAGCCTGCTGAAATCCAAGCGTCCTGTGAGTGTACCATGGTGAGGAGAGTCTACGTTTCTGCGTTTGACTCTAGTGGATTTTTGTCTTGTGTTGGGATGAGCACAGGGGAAACATGGGCAGCTGGCAGGTGCTTGTTGGGCAGTGCTGCTCCCCAGAAGGGTCCTCGCTGAACAGGCATGCCTGGGGGTTCTCTAGCCTGCTCTGCAGGCAGGGTGTGCTGCCTTCCCTGGGCAGCCTGCAGTCCTGGGCCCCGCAGAGGAAGACGAAGCGAGGAGGCCGTCCCCACTCTGCTGCAACATCCCTGCCCTGCCCAGGGCAGCTGTCTGCCCTCCCTGTGTGAGCAGACTCCTAGCAGGAGCCCAGAGCTGCTAGACCATGCGGGAGCACCTCCCAGCAGTACCCATACAGGCCAGGCCAGCAGCAGCCTTTGGGCTGGAGGGGCTTGAAGACCTCTGGCTCCCTTGGACAGATTCTGCTCCTGGTCTGGAGCAGCAATGTGGCCTGGTTGTGGGCTGGGGATGGCATTTATGTTTGTAGTGGTGACACTTCTTTTTGCAGGTAAGGCTGACCAGACATGGGTGTGTGTGGAGTCCTCTTTTTCCAGTGAGTTGGCCCCTGGCCCGACTCCAGGGTGTGGGAATGCAGTCCCTGCTGAGCAGGTAAGAGCCAACTATGTTCTGGCACCACAGACCACCATTCAGGCAGTGGCTTGGGCCATCTGTGCCAGAGGTGGGAGGTGATGGGACCTGGGCTGCCAATTTCTGGGTGGGCACTGGAGCTGTTTTAGCCCTTCCCTGGAGTTTACACAAGATGTGCATTTGCTGCATGATTTTACCACCTCTCCAGTGCTCAGGGGACTGTAGGCATGTATCCAGTTAATTTTTTTTTAAGGGGCTTTTGAAAGATGCACACCCCCTTTGGCTTGTGGTGTTGCTTTTATACTTCCTGACATGTTGGACATGCCCCCAGCATGGGGTGAGGAGAGCCTGCAGCAAGGTGAGGCTCCAAGATGTGAAGTCTCCTACCTGCAAAATATGTTTGTGCATTTACCAGCAGTTTTAGGGCTCTTCACTATGTGGCTGTAGCCTGCCAAAGGGATCCTTGTGACCCATGGGTACTGGCAGTTGCTTGCTGACAAGCAAACAGTGGCTCCTTTGCCAGGTGCTGCTGCTGCAATGAACATACCCTGGCAGTGGTCCCGTGGGTGGTAGGCTTGGGGTATTGGTTGGGCTGCGCTGCAACAGCACCAGACTCCTGAAGCAGGGGTGAATGTCAAAACAGGACCCTGCTCTGACATGCTGAGGCATGTGAGCAGGGCTTCCCGAGCCCAAGAACTGCTGGTGTGCGTGTGCTGCCTGCAGAGGTGCTCCTCCACAGGAAGGGCTGTGCTGGGGCTGGGCTACGGGTCACTGCGTGGGGGTGACCAGCCCCTGTGTCACACTTACACCGTGCCCTTGCCAGTCTGCAGGTGATCAGTTGTCCCAGGAGCTGAAGCATGTAAAGAACGAACTGGAGCGAGTGAAGGGCGAACTTGGTATGTGGGGCTGGCTGTTTTGGGGGCTGTGGACACCCGCAATCCAGATGACACCCCCTGCACTTGTACCTGGAGCCCAGGCCTGTAGCTCCGTGTGGATGGGGCTTGTTTGGGGGTAGAGCAGGATCTCAGCTGCTGCCCCAGAGGGTCTGGGGATGAGGTGTTCAGGATGGGCTGAGCACACACCTACTTGCCTCCTGCCTGCAGCTGACAAGACTGCCCAGTGTGAAGCCTATTGCCAGATGATCTCCTCCTTGCAGGCTCAGCTCAGAGCAGCAGGTATGTTCCCTCACTAGGGTGAGCCCTCACCCCTGGGCAGGCTGAAGGGATCCTCCAGTGATCCCTTGCCGGTGTAACTGAGGGCTGCCAGGTGGAAGGGACACGGCTTGTGGCCTTCCCTGTGAGGCAGGTGCTGAGTGCCGGAAGTAGCAAGTGCTTTGATGCTGCTGTTGCTCCCCAGGAATCTGTCTGGAAGATGCAGCAGTGGAGAGTGGTGACTCGGGGAGACACTGATGGTTGGCACATGGGGACAGACTCAAAACAGCCACTTGTCTGGCCACCTAAGGTGCTGGGCCAGTGCTATTTGTGCAGCTCTTGAATTAATGAATTTTTAAACTCCTTGTATTTAAAATAAAGGTGTCTTTTCCCAATGATGCTTGCTGTCTTCTGGGGTCGGGCCAGTGCCTGGTGCTGCCCACTGTTCACCAAAGGGCTGGTTAGAAAGGGCAGATCTGTGTCTGGCTGTGGCTGGTTCTGCTCAGCCAGAGACTTGAGGTCTGCTGCGTGGAGGAATTGGGTGCTGGTGGATGGAGGCACAGCATGACTCTGGGGAAGCCTTTCTGGACGAACCTGGTGCTTCCAGGTGGGATGCTTGGACATGTGGTGGTGGCAGGCAGCTGTACAGGCAGGATTCTGCTTTAAACTACCTTCACGCTGGATGTGGGAAGAACCAGTACTGACTGATGGCACTTGGGCTTCTGCAGCTCTTAGCTGCTACTTACCATTTTATTAGCTGGTGGCTTGTGTCAGTGTCTGGAGGCAGGTGGTGGGGAAGCAGCACTTGGGACTCACTCCCTTATTGTTCCTGCCTGCCAGCACTGGAAGCCCTGCTCTGCTGCCTTCTCTCTGTGGTAGGTTGACACAGGTTGACCTTGTCGCGCTGCCTCACATCTGGGTGAGGCCCTGGAGAGTCCCACTGTCTGGTGGTGGCAGTGCCCTGAGGCTGGGCCAGGAAGGCTGGCCTGCTCCCGCTCCCCTGTTGTCTCCGGCTGGTGTTCCTGGCTGCCCTGGTGTGCTGCAGGCAGGCTGCACCCCTTCCTGGGGTGGCTGCCCTTGACCCTGTGTAGGGGTGGCTGCACAGGGATGCTCCGACTGCTGTCTCGCACTCCTGCTCAGCACTCAGTCGCTGAGGCAAACAGCTCCAGTGCTGGCAAAATCCGCAGCGGAACGCTCTACTGTGGTGTACGGGGGGGTTCCCTGTACATGCATGTTGATGATAACTTCTTGGTGCAGGTACTAAGGGAGCTGACTAGGAAAGGTGCCCTGCTAGATTTGTTGTTTGTAAACAGAGAGGGACTTGTGGGCAAAGTGGTGATTGGTGGCTGTCTTGGTCACAGTGACCACGAAGTGGTGGAGTTTCAAATTGTCGGTGATAGGAGAAAGACTGCCAGCAAAACTTCAGTCCTGCTTATGGGGAGAGTAGATTTTGGGCTGCTGAAGGAGTTAGTTAATAAGGTCTCCTATGAATCTGCTTCTGAAGGTATTGGGGTCCATGAATGCTGGTCACTTTTTAAAAGCCATCTCTTAAGAGCACAGGAGCAAGCAATTCCGAAGTATTGAAAATCAAGCAAGTGGGGCAGAAGACCAGCTTGGCTGAGCAGGGATCTTCTTCTAGAACTTAGGTTGGAAAAGGAAAATGTATGGACACTGAAAGCAAGGACAGGTGACACAGGAGGACTACAGAGATGCTGTCTGCCACTGCAGGGAAAAAATTAGTGTGGCCAAAGCTCAATTAGACTTCAAGCTGGCCAGCACTCTGAAGGACAACAAAAAGAGCTTTTAAAAATATGTTAATAGCAAAAGGAGAATCAGAGGTAACATTGGTCCATGCTTGACGAGGTCGATCACCTCAGAAATAGGGATGTAAACAAAGCAGAGACGTTTAATGCCTTCTTCACCTCTGTCTTCAACACTGATGATGGGCACTGGGACCCCCAGAGCCCTGTGTTGGAAGACTATGACTGGGGGGGATGATAAACTCCCAGCTGACCCTTAACTTCTTTGAGACTTGCTGCTCCAGCTAGATGCGCATAAATCTATGGGGCCAAATAGGATTCAACCCAGGGTACTGAAAGAGCTGGCCAATGTCATCGTGGGACCTCTCTCCATTATTTTTCAATGGTCCTGGGAGGCTGGAGAGGTCCCAGTTGACTGGAAGCTGGCAAATATTGTTCCACTTTTCAAGAAGGGTAAAAAGGAAGACGCTGGTAATTACAGGCCTGTCAGTCTCACTTCAGTGCCTGGTAAAATTATGGAGAGGTTTATTCTGGGAGTTACTGAAAAAAACACTTGAGAGACAATGCAGTCATTGGTCACAGCCAGCACAGGTTCACAAGGGGAAAGTCCTGCTTAACCAACCATCCTGGTTTCGGCTGGGATAGAGTTAATTTTCTTTCTAGTAGCTGGTATAGTGCTATGTCTTGGATTTAGTATGAGAAGAATGTTGATAACACACTGATTTTTTCAGTTGTTGCTAATAAGTGTTTAGACTCAGTCAAGGATTTCTCAGCTTCTCATGCACAGCCAGCAAGAAGGCTGGAGGGGCACAAGAAGTTGGGAGGGGACATGGCCAGGACAGCTGACCTAAACTGGCCAAAGGAATATTCCATGCCATGTGATGTCATGCCTAGTATATAAACTGGGGGTAGCTGGCTGGGGGCGAGCAGATCACTGCTTGGGAACTAACTGGGCATTGGTCGGAGGGTGGTGAGCAATTGCATTGTGCATCACTTGTTTCGTATATTCCAATTCTTCTTCTTCTTCTTCTTCTTCTTCTTATTATTATTATTATCATAGTCGTTTTATTATTATCATTATTAATTTCTTCCTTTCTGTCCTATTAAACTGTCTTTACCTCAACCCACGAGTTTTACTTTTTTTTTGATTCTCTCCCCCATCCCACTGGGTGGGGGAGAAGTGAGCAAGCGGCTGTGTGGTGCTTAGCTGCTGACTGGTCTTAAACCACAACAGTCCTTTTTGGCACCCAACGTGGGGCATGAAGGGTTGAGATAACAACAGATCTGAGCAGAGCGTGTTAAAACGAATTTGTTACAAGCATTCATTATATTAATTTAATAGTTGCTGGTCACCATGTCGATTTATTAGCTCTTAGAGTTGTGGCGCTTGTTCTTAGAGTTGTGTTGCATATCACCTCACTTGCTGTATATAGTCCCTGGGCTGCTGGGAGGTGGATTAAGGTTTTTGCTTTGATGTACTGTGTAACACTGTCTTATGGTATGTTAAAATTATCAGTTGTGGAACTAATCTGGTATTTGTACTCAGCATTGTCGTCACCTCTATACTTCAGGAGCCATCTGTGGGAAACCATTAATAATGACACCCTTTACCTTTTCTCCTTGGAGAGCCAGTCTATGGGTGAGACACCTTTCTTCACCTTGCCAGTCTCTTCCAGGCTAATTACAATAGCATTTGAGAATTTTGAAAATTTTTAATATCCTTGGGATGTTGAAACCAGCATGGTCCTCTTGCTAGGAACTAGCATGTTCCTGAATGTGGTTCAGGTCTTGTTTAGGGTTAAACAACTATTTCAGAATATCACCCAGACATCTGCCCCAAGGCTGAATAATTATGAGTGGCAGGGTGTGTGGGGTAGTACGGGCAAGTACCTAGGACAGTGGGCACCTCCAGTGTTTTGGAACTTCTCCCCTGAAAAAGTACAGAATCTAGAAAAACTAGTAAAATATTTGGAAGAAGTGTGCTGTCACCCTGGCAATTCCAGAGAGACACAAATACCTGCAATGTGCTGGGGCCTGGCCCATGCCTTCTGAGCCCTGTTCAACCCTATTCAGTACCCTCAAGGGGAAGAGAAGGTCTCCGAATCTGACAACAAAACAACAGGCACTGCAGCCACTCCAGCTCCGGTGACAGGCACTGCAGCTGAACCAGGGTCATCACAAAAACAGGAGGAAGAGGCAGAACCAGAGGTAATCACCCGATCCCTATCCCTGAGTGAGCTGTGGGATATGCAAAAAGATTTCAGCCATCATCCAGGTGAGCACAGTATCTCCTGGCTGCTCCAATGCTGGCACAATGGGGCTAGTAGCCTGGAATTGGAGGGTAGGGAAGCCAAGCAGCTGGGATCACTTTCTAGGGAAGGTGGCGTTGACAAGGCAATTGGAAAAGGGACCCAAGCCCTCAACCTCCGGAGGCAACTCTTCTCAAGCGTGAAGGAAAGGTACCCCTTCAAAGAAGATGTTATATGTCAACCAGGCAAGTGGACCACCACGGACAGAGGTACCCAGTACCTGAGGGAATTAGCAGTGCTAGAGATGATTTATTATGACCTGGACAATGCACAATTACCCAGAGATCCAGATGAAGTCCAATGCACCCGACTGATGTGGCAGAAGTTTGTGCGGAGCGCACAATTGTTGTATGCCAACTCATTGGCAGTACTGACCTGGAAAGACAAAGAGGCACTGACAGTGGGTGAAATGGCTCACCAACTCTGGCAATACAAAGAAAATCTCTCTTCCTCCCTATGAGTCTGCTGTGGAAAAACTGCCTGAAAAGTCAAAAAAACTGATCGAACTGATCAAAAAGTCATACTCCCCACCTGTACGGGCCCGCATCTCAGCTATTAGGAGTGAGCATTCCTCTGCTTAAGAGAGAGAATATAGAAGGTACACACAGTAGGGTACCTGGTGGTTTTACCTGCGTGACCATGGAGAGGACATGAGGAAGTGGGGTGGAAAACCTGCCTCGGTCCTAGATGCACGGGTATGTGAGTTGTGAGGAAAACAACCAGAAAGGAGATTCTTCCAGGAAAAATGCTGCTCCAGTTTCCAAACAGAGTAGAAGGGCTGATCTTCTTGAAGTCAGTTTTACAAGAAGTGGATAATGGATACTCTGACCAGGATTAGAGATGCCCTGCCTCCAGCCAGGTGGAGGAAAGGGACAACCAGGTTTACTGGACTGTGCGGATTTGATGGCCTGGCATGTTAGACCCACAGGAGTACAAGGCTCTAGTAGACACCCGTGCACAGTGTAGTGTACTCTAATGCCATCAAGTTATAAAGGGGCAGAACCCATCTGTGTTTCTGGTGTGTCAGGGGGATCCCAGCAGCTAACTGTGTTGGAGGCTGAAGTAAGCCTAACTGGGAATGAGTGGCAGAAACATCCCATTGTGACTGGCCTAGAGGCCCCGTGCATCCTTGGCATAGTCTGCCTCAGGAGAAGGTATTTTAAGGACCCAAAGGGGTATCACTTGGCTTTTGGTATAGCTGCCTTAGAGACGGAGGGAATTAAACAGCTGTCTACCCTGCTTTCACGGTTTAACCCCAGCCAGCAACTAAGCACCACGCAGC